ATGTATTAGTATAATTTATTCTAATATCATATAACTTGATGCAAATCTCGGTTTTAAGGGCTTTTTGACTAGATCCAACATCACAATCACATAAAAACACAAATATAAACATAGAAATCACACAAAGCATACATATACACATAGATCTACACATTTTGCTTGTATTCCCCCCCATAAAACTTGTAAAACCGAAAAGTAGGGAGTATGAAGCTCACCTTTGGGAGTGGTTTCGGTTTTGGAGAAGAGATGGAAGAAAATGAGATGATTTTCGGCGTAAGCAACGTTTCCTTGGAAGATCACGAGTTTGGGAGCTTCTAAGGTGCAAGATCATGATTTCTTATGAGTTAAGAAGAGATGTTTGATAAATCAAGGAACTTAGATCATAGATTTACTTATAAACTTACCTTAGATGATGATTCTTGTGGAAAATCTCTTTGGAATGCTCTTAAGTCTCGAAAATTTAGTGAAGAGAGGTGAGGGTGTTCCTTGAGAGAGTTTGATAAACAAAAGTGATTGAAGTGTGTGTGTGTGGGTGAAATCTCGGCCGAGAACAAGGAGAAGAAGAGAGAGGGAGTTGAGGTGACAATTCTAGATGCATGTTGGTCCATGCATGGAGGCATGTGAGGTATAAGTGAGGTGGCACTTCTCAAGTCAACTCTTCACTCTTGGATTTGGGCTTTGGGCCGAGATTTGGAAAGAAAAAGGAGAGTATTGGGCTTTAATGCCCCTAAGCCCATATTAGAGTTAGGTTGGGTGATTTTTAGCCCTATAAAATATAAGTGTGATTTTTTTATGCTTTATTAGGCTAGATTAGGTTAATTATGGTCCATAATAGTTCATAATATTTAATTTATTTCCTTCTAGGCCCAATATGGCCCAAAACGTTGAAATAAATGAAAGTGGGTCCAATTAGAGCCCATTTAAAGGTTCTAAGCCCATGATAGTCAAATTGGAAGTTTATTGGTCCATTAGGCCCAATAAGGAAGTCCTAGTCCAAAATGGACCTAAACAAGAACTTCTAGGGTTTCCAATTGCTTGTTGACTATTTGTAGTGCTTTTATGAAGTGTTTGATTGAAAATTTGTTGCCATGAAGTAAGCATCTTACATGCTCTTAAGTTTTTGATTCAACATTTTACTTGAGTGTTGTGATTACAAGACACAAAATTTCTAGTTGTGACATCATCCCCCCGTTAGAGGGAATTCCGTCCCGAAATTATGTTTGAAAGCTAGATTTGAGAATGCTAGAATAGGTGACGGTACTTTTGCTTCATTTGGTCTTCGCGTTCCCACGCGAATTCTGGCCCACGCTTTGCGTTCCACCGTACTTTCACGATCGAGATGCGACTTTGCTTAGTAAGCTTTACCTCCCTGTCCATGATTTCAACCGGTTCTTCAACAAACAGGAGATTTTCGTTGATTTCGATCTCGTTAAGGGGAATGACGAGTGTTTCATCCGACAAACACTTCTTTAAATTGGAGACATGGAACACGGGGTGTACACTGTTTAGCTCTGCGGGTAGCTGCAGTTTGTATGCCACTGGACCTATTCGGGCGACGACTTCGAAAGGTCCAATGTATCGTGGGTTCAGTTTTCCCCGCTTCCCAAAATGAATAACTCCTTTCCAGGGTGAGACTTTTAACAGTACTCGATCCCCGACCTGAAATTCTAAGGGCTTTCGTCGTTTATCGGCATAGCTCTTTTGTTGGTCGCGCGATGCTTGTAATCGAGCTCCGATTTGAATGATCTTTTCTATGGTTTCATGAATGATCTCCGGTTCTGTTAGAGCCTTGTCTGTTGTGAGTGTTTTTGCTAGCTGGGTATCGCCCACCTCAGCCCAACATAACGGTGATCTAAACTTACGCCCGTATAGTGCTTCAAAAGGGGTGACCTTGATGCTCGAATGGTAGCTGTTGTTATACGAGAATTCGACTAAAGGTAAATGGGTATCCCAAGACTTCCCAAAGTCTATCACACATGCGCGAAGCATGTCTTCGAGCGTTTGAATGGTTCGTTCACTTTGACCATCCGTTTGTGGATGATAAGTAGTGCTCATGTCGAGGTGAGTTACTAGTGCTTTCTGGAGTGATTGCCAAGAACGTGAAGTGAACCTACTGTCTCTATCCGAGATAATAGACACTGGTACTCCGTGGAGTCTCACGATTTCTCGAATGTATAAGCGTGTCAATCTCTCCATCTTGTAGGATTCTTTTATTGGCAGGAAATGGGTAGATTTCGTCAGTCGGTCGACTATTACTCATATGGTGTCTAGTCCATCCGACGTCTTGGGTAGCTTGGTCACGAAATCCATAAAAATCCCTTCCCATTTGCACTCAGGGATTACCGGTTGCTACAATAACCCTGAGGGCTTCTGGTACTCCACCTTTACCTTGGCACAATTAAGGCACTTACTAACATAGGTGGCAACCTCCGCCTTCATGTTAGGCCACCAATAGTGTTGTTTAACATCCAAATACATCTTGTCCGAACCAGGATGGATGGAGTATCGCGTCTTGTGGGCTTCCTTCATAACTATCTCCCTAAATCCTCTGAGTTTAGGGACCCAAATATGGTTCATGAAGTAGTATACTCCATCTTCTTTTACCTCTAGATTCTTCTCCATTCCGCGTAGTGCTTTGCTTGCTATGTTTTCCGTCCTCATGGCCTCCGACTGGGCCACCCCAATCTGAGTGGTTAAGTGGGATTGGATGGTTATTGAGAAGGTTTTCGCACGACGATTAGAGTACTCCTTCCGGCTCAATGCGTCAGCTACCACGTTGGCCTTGCCTGGGTGATAGTTGATTTCACAGTCGTAATCGTTTAATAATTCAACCCATCTTCGTTGCCTCATGTTCAACTCGTTTTTGTTCAAGATGTGCTGAAGACTTTTGTGGTCCGTGAAGATGGTGCACCTTGTACCATAAAGGTAATGCCTCCAAATCTTCAGAGCAAAGACCACTGCTCCTAATTCCAGATCATGGGTTGCATAATTTTCTTCGTGCATCTTTAGTTGGCGGGATGCGTAAGCTATCACCCTTCCACGCCGCAGGAGAACGCAACCTAAACCCTGATTTGATGCGTCACAGTAGACTACGAAGTCTTCCGTTCCCTTCGGTAGAGATAGTACCGGGACGCTACAGAGGGCTTGCTTTAGGGTTCGGAACGCCACCTCTTGCTTGTCCATCCATTTGAATGGTACACCCTTTTGCGTAAGTGAGGTAAGTGGCTTGGCGATTTTTGAGAAGTTTTGAATGAACCTCCGGTAGTAGCCTGCTAGGCCTAAGAATTGATGAATTTCTGTGGGCGTTGTCGGGACGGACCATCCTTTGACGGCTTTGACCTTGGAAGGATCCACATGAATTCCTTCTTGACTAACAACATGCCCCAAAAACTTCACGCTACAGAGCCAAAACTCACACTTGGAGAGTTTTGCGTACAACTTTTCCGATCGCAGGGTTCTAGAATTTGTCGGAGATGTTGACCATGCTCTTCCTCGCTTCGGGAGTAGACGAGAATATCATCAATGAAGACAATGACAAAGTTGTCGAGGAATGGTCGACAGATTCGGTTCATCAGATCCATAAATACGGAAGGAGCATTTGTTAGACCAAAGGGCATTACGACAAATTCATAATGTCCGTAACGAGTTCGGAAAGCAGTTTTTGGAATATCCTCTTCCTGGACTTTGAGTTGATGGTATCCGGACCATAGATCTATCTTAGAAAAATAACTAGCTCCTTGGAGCTGGTCAAATAGATCGTCGATTCGTGGGAGTGGATAGCGATTTTTGACAGTGAGTTTATTTAACTCCCTATAATCAATGCACATTCTAAAAGATCCGTCCTTCTTTTTGACAAAGAGGACTGGAGCTCCCCATGGCGAGTAACTAGGTCGGATGAATCCCTTGTCCAAGAGTTCACTGAGTTGGCTGGACAATTCCTGCATTTCAGCAGGAGCTAGCCGGTAGGGTAATTTAGCGAGAGGAGTTGCTCCTGGAACGAGGTCAATTCGGAACTCCACTTGTCTCTCTGGGGGTACTCCAGGATGATCTTTAGGAAACACGTCTGGGAACTCACGTGCTACAGGAATGTCTTGAATGTTAACCTCTTCCTTGGTTTTATCCACTATGTGAGCCAGGAACGCCAAATTATTCTTTCGTAGATGTTTCTGTGCCCGAATGCACGAGATGATGCGGAGGTTCGTGCTAGGTTTATCTCTGTAAATTACTAGGGTTTCGTGATTGGGAAGGTGAAGGCGAACGGCCTTCTCGTGACACATAACTTCAGCATGGTGGGGGCTTAACCACTCCATGCCGATAATCACATCGAAACTCCTAATGGAAACCGGCATTAAGTCTATTCGAAAGACGTGTTGATTTAAGGTTAGGGGTACATCCGGTGTAGATTTCCCCAGTGGATTCGGTTTTCCCATTGGCCATTTCCACCGTAAAGGTTTCATTGAGCTTCTGGGGTTGTTGTTTTAATAAATGGCTAAATTTATTGCTTACGAAACTTCGCTCTGCTCCGGTGTCAAATAGGATGCATGCATAAGTGTGGTTTAGGAGAAACGTACCTGTAACAACAACGGGATCCTGAATTGCTTCTCCCTGACCCATGGTCAGCATCCTTCCTATTCCTCCATTTCCGGGATCGTTGTTGTTAGGGCAATCTCGACGGAAATGCCCAGTCCTCCCACACCCATAGCAGGTGTGGCTAGGCCCTGCATTGTTGCCGCCGGTGTTGATGTTGTTGTTGTTGCGGTTGTTGTTGTTGTTGCTGTTTCCCCTGTTGTTGGTTCTGGGGAGGGTAAGTCTTGCAGTACCTTGCAATGTGTCCCCTTCGATTGCAACTGGTGCACTGAAACTCCTTGCATTCTCCATTGTGATGGAAACCGCACTTGTT